ATGTGGTATGTAAAGTTCCCGCCCCGATGTCTACACAGAGGAAGTTAAAACAGCAACGAAGAAGCTGTTACAATAATAATAATGTTTGTTGGGACAGTAAGTGATTTAGAGCGCTTTATGCCGCTGAAGCACGCAGTATTTGCAGGATGCTTTTGCTGATGAGACTTCGGCATGCGAGACGTGAATTAGTCAGCATCTGCTTCTGTTCGCTGTTTGGCTTGTCCCTCCCTGAGTCGGCAGCTCTCTGTACCCTGAATATTATCATATCTATAATTAAGAGCAGAATTAAGTTAAAATATGGCAGCTGCTATACAACAGACCGACTGATTCCCTCATGACGGTTCAACGCCACTGGTACTTTAGACCACCGTCGTATAGGGTCTGAATTAGTTACCCATCCATTCTTTGGTCTTCCAAGAGACCATTTTCCAAAAAAAAAAATACCCTCCAAGTCCAAAATATATTTCTTTTATCACGCATCCGATCTGCTAAATGCCCAGCAAATCGTAGTCTCCTAGATTTCGCTACATAAGAATGCCTCCCACGTAACTGAACAACCATCTGACAAATAAAGTAACTAACTTAGCGTTTTTAAATCTTTTTTAAAACACTAGCACACTGCAGTTTAATAGCTAGTGGCGGGGATGGAAGTAGCATAGGTGTAGGAGACCTATGTAGACAAAATCATGTATGAACGTGCATATAATTCGTCATCTTTATAAAGTGCTAATTTCTTCTGCAGTCCCGACTGAATAATTATATATTATTAAGGCTGTGAAGGTTGATAACCAAGTATCAACGTTTTAACTATGAACCCTCTTCAAAGAATCACCGCTCGGTGGATTGGTTATTAACAAAGCACAAAATCTTGTACTGCTGGTAATACCGTACTCAAATTTTAAGCGTTCAAATATTTGATCACGACTGAAATATTAGTTTTTAACAGTTCTTATGACGAATAATTGACGGAAAGTTCAGTTTTCAGAAGAAGAGCATTAAAATACCGTCCGTATGAATTTAATAAGGACTCATAAGCAGTAGCTGAAAACTTTTAAGGGTAGTGTTTAAAGTTTCAAACGTCCAGAAATGAAACAAAGTTTAGTTTGCGAATTTCGGAAAAACTTATGGCCTAGCTGTCATTTAAGTGTCGATTATTTTACAGTTCAGCCGTCGATAAGAACTTTTTCGAAAAATATTAATAACTGCAGTTCATTGTCTCTTAGCCGGCACCAGAAGGCAGATATCGAGTGATGAGCAACCTAAGTGTGTTGAAGATGGACGGATGGCTAATGTGGTAGCTTGCATTGCCATGCAGTCCCTCCTCCCCTGAAGCCTAAACTATGATCTCTCTTCTAATTTCGCCAGAGATCACAAACGGTCAGCGTTAAACCTGAGCGCGCTAACAACGCCTATGATGACCTGGCTAATCAAACGTATCTGATCGGTTTTCCGTGTTCTAGTGCATGGAGTAGGTTATCACTGAACCACAAATGTATGATTTTGTTTTCAGATTGTAAGCCGGACTAACACGTTTTAACACAAAAGCTCCACAAATTCGTATGTTGCATTATATGTGACGTCATGCCGCTAGGAATGCCATTTGAGTCTGAAGTTTGGATGGAGAAAAGTTTACTATAATGGGATTCCATGTCATCATTGATCCTTCTTCTATTTCCTACTTTCCTGACTTCTGTCGCCAACCCTTTATTGACTTCCATGCTTCCCACGTGTTTGTTTAGATTCAAGTTTCCACGAGTAAAGTTATAATAGAAAACGTGAAAGAGGCCAGTGATTCAGAAAAGATACAATGAGTTATACCACAGAATTTCCACATTGTTATACGGACCATGTGCTTTATTACAGTTCTTGTCAAACTGTGTTTTATTATGACTGTACAGTCCCTATCAGACGCGTATTTAATTTGGCAATGTAATATAAATACAATTACGCACACGGACTTAGAATTTATCCATTCGAGCGTGTAAGAACTAAGTCACCACAGTTAATAATTTTTCTAAATACTTTTCGTTGAGCCCGACAGCTCCTTACTCCTCCGCCTAAATGAATTAACGCCTTAAAACTTTTCAGAATCAACCATATGTAGAAACCAAATTTAATTAATTAGAGCAGAATTCGAGGTTCTCAAGACGGGCAGTATGAAGATGGCGATCGCCCTGACGATGGAGGCAGTACGGACCTCTGAAACGCTGGTAAACTTCTACCAGACTACACGGCGCTACAACCCAGAAGACAGCCATCTTCTTTCTCAATAATTTAGTCTTGAAAGAACGGAGAGATTCAGCAATACAAAACTGTGCAACCAATGCAAACTTATAAAAATAATTGCGTAAGTTGGTCTCAGCGCCCGCGGGGTCTTTGGACGTTCGGAAACTGGGATCTCGTTCAATGCATGGACGTGTGCTGTCCTTTGTGGGCAGAGGCCATGCGATTAGTTGATCACCAGTCCTACGATTCTGCCAAATTTCTGAAGGGATTCATGATTTCAGAGGTAATTCTAACTGGAACAAGCCACGAGGCCTTGTCCCAAAGAGATGATGATGAAGATGAATTCTGTATCTTGCTCAGGACCTACCCCTGCGACCTAAGTATTATCATTTCACCTCTTGACTTCTCTCTACTCGTAAGTGTTATGCTTGTTGTTTATGGACATTTCGGGGAACATAAACAGCATTTACCATCTCTTGAACGTGCTGCATGTTATGCCCATCATAACCTTTTTAATTTGGTCACCCCAATATCATTTGTTTAAAAATACAAATTATGACGTGGTCGCTATGCGAAGAGTATCTTAAGCATTCAGATTGTGGGGTACATGGATTGTAGGATCATTTATGATCACTATATTATTTTCTTATAAGCCAGTTACTGGGAATTGAATATCAGTGGCGTGCTACCAGTAACGAGCTGTTTAAATGCCATAGGCATATTTAATACGGATAATGCACAATGCATTTAATTAATTGCGCGGAGTAACATTATATGACTATAAGCTTTCGAGTATTGGGTGAAAGCTTTGTAATAGGCTTTTTGTTTGATTAACGAGAAACGTAATGTGAAAAGAGATGTAAATGTTTTGAATCCATAAAAGCAAAGGTAGTGTTTAAACTCGGAAAAAATCGTTTGTTATTTGCGTGATATTTTGTAAATATGGATTTTACGGGAAATTGGATGAGTAAGCACAGGTGACGCAAAATAAATACCATAATTAGCCGATGTACGGACTGAAGAGATGCTGCCATATTCGCGTTATTTTATGGCGGATTGCAGTGATACATAATTGAAAATGCATGTTTGTCTTTTACAGTCATTATTATCGGGCCAAACAGTGGGAAAAATTGAGGACTCATTAATAACCACAATAATAATAGTAATAGTAATAATAATAATAATAATCGTCCTGTGACAGACTTTTAAAATCTATTTTAAATCACTTCCCACTAGAAAGAAGAGATATCTGACGATGAACTAAAGCTGCAACAGACTTGTAGTAAGTCAATCTTTGGAGGGCATGATGAAGATAATAAGAGATATATAGCACAGCACAGCTACAGCATCACATTAAGAAAAAAGTCCACTAAACGGAACAACATTTGTGAATAAATTCCGCTAAATAAATTAAAGACATTTGGATATGAAATGCACAGCCATCTGTAAACATTAGAACAGGCTGAGATTCGAGGAAGGTAAATGCTTCCAGAAACGATTTTGGAGACTCACGAAAGGAAGGATATTTCTGAAAGTGCAGGGGATCGATCACATTATGAGCACGGCATCGGACACAACACCCTACGATACAATAAATGGTTTTGCGTTCGCCTGCAGTTTCGTTCCCAAAATTCACGTCGAAAGATTTTGATTTCATACAGAGTGTAAGTGAGCGAGAGGGTTAAAGCGTGCGAGTGTGTCATTGTTTCTCAACCGGAACCTCGCGGTCCGCTGTCGGGTGTCGCTTACTTTCTTCGGGTCCCTAAACGTCAGTTCGAATTATCTTACGCTTATAATAAATATTTTATGACAAGTGACAAACGCACTGTTTTGGGCGACTTATGTGTTCTTCATTTCCTTCTAGCGACTAAACAATTTGTTTCAAAAAATTGCAGGCATATACGTTTTACATTCTCCCTTTTGCGACGTTTTATGGTGTGATATGTTGAGAAGTGAGGAACAGAGTACCGAGCTTTGGGGGTCGGTCGCTGCACGCCTCAGAAATCTGAGGCTAAGCCATTCACAAAACCAGAGATCCTTCGAAGATGAATTTGTATCCCTCTTTAAATTATTTCATATGTCCTTGCGTAAAATTACGATTGTGAATGTGGGGTGAAGGTGATATTGCGTCTCATCTATTTTAACACCACATAAAAGTGTCAATTTTTAGGTTCATTTGTCCCTGCTGAGCGCCTATTAATACCTGTCTGTCCGACTGTACGCCTGTGACAACTCGAGAA